ACCCCGGGGCGGGCCCGGGCCGGGGCCCTGGCCCTGCAAGGCTGCTCGTCCTGCCAAGAGCGGGCCAGAAGCGGGGGAGAAAGGCGAGCCTGCCCCGAGGCCCAGGAATGTGCCCGCAGGCAGCCGCCGGCGGGAGGAGGGCCGCCTCCCGGGCGCCTGGGGCTCGCAACGTCTGCCGCCTCCTCACCCGCAGGGCCCACGGCTTTTATGCCAGAGATGCTGGTGTCGCCCACAGAAAAAACCTGGGACTCCTCAGAAAGATACTATGTCAGGTAATAGCGATGCTTTCCTAGCGATGCCCCCTCAGCCAGGGGCGCTGGCTGAGCCCCTGCCTGTACTGGGTTTCAGCCGGGGTGGTCTGAGCGTCAGTCCTCAACCCAGGTGTTTGAGAAGTCCCTGGTCACGCTGACTAACAAGTTTGCGGAGAAAAAAGCTGCAGTTTTGCTGGAGAGAGTTACAAATGGTTAAATTTATTTCATGAGGCTCAGACCTAGAAATGTAGAGAGGACTGTGCTGTGGAAAAACTGCAGAAGCACTTGTAAACCTAATAATCCTGTTAGAAATAGCCTTTTATGAGATTTGTATCACTTATTTCTTCCCCTAAGATGGCTTAATATTTAATACCAATATTAAATTCATGGTGTTTTAGCGAGCATCAGTGTTAAATTCGAATGAAGTTCTCACAACAAAATAAGATAATCAGCAGAGGTCTTCAGGTAAACATACCCCTAATGTGTCAGTGAAATTCATGTTACAGAAAAAATAGGAATTAAACCAATTATAGACTAAAGTGAACTTGATTTTTTTTTTTTTATCAAAACGATTACTGCAGCCATGCAGTCGTTGATTGAAACACATTGAAAGTGAATATATGGAAGTGAATTGGCAATTGTGTTATTTTAAAAATACATTTATTGGAAGTCAGCTAAAGTGTCCACTTATACAACTAGATCAATGGGCATGCAAGGTTTATTGAAATAAAAATGAGTACATCTGACTTACACAAATACTTTTTTTTTTGTAAGACTGGAACCTTTGTTAATGGTATAGAGCTCCTGACGTCTCTAATGCATGCAAGAAACTCTGTGTGAGCAGTTTATCCCATTAACATTTCAGGCACTTTTTGCAAATAACCGTAAACACATTTTTCTACCTTTCACACAAAACAGCAACAGCAGAACGGAGTCAGATATTGAGTAAATTCAATTAATTACATAGAAAAGATTATGTGCATAACTCCACTCTGGGGAGTTTTGTCCTTGATTTTAAAAGTTGCCATTAAAGTTTAGTTGCCAGTTTTAATTTTAATGCAGGCAAGTTAATGACAAAATATTCATTACCCATGCTGTCCATAATAGCTAATAAAAAGATCTTTTAATGTGGTTTAAAAAAAAAGACAATTTCCCTAAAAAAGGTCTTTTAATTTGGTTTAAAACAAAAAACCCAAGATTTTTCCTTATGTATTCAACAGCAAAGGTTCAATTAAAGTAAATTATTCAGCTGCAAGAGCCAAATAAAATATTTTCCAAAAGCAAGGTTTGTTACAAAAGCCATCACTGTTACAATCACTGTCTGTTTCAGGAAAGTACTAAATTCAAGAACGTTTGGACAACTCATTCTGCATCTCCTATTGCATATGAAAGAGGAAGAATTTACTTAGACAATTACCAGTGCTGTATTAGCAGGTAATAAATTTACAATTAAAAGTTACCCTGGCTTACAGTTTTAATGCTATGATTCTGTTTTAGATATGTTGCTAACTTTACTAATCCAAATAGCCCCTGTGAATTGAGTGGAATTTACTTATGAACAAAAAATAACCAGGTGCATAAATCTTTATTAAATTACAGTCAGATGCCGTTGTGTCTTAACGTGCCACCTGCTTTGGCGAAGGAAAGTCTGATCTTACTGGTGCTGTATAACTTCAGCTTTCAGGGCACTTTAACAGGAGTGGAAGATTATCAGCATTTTATAATTTTGCACTAAAAAGCCAAATGAACAGTAGTTCTTTGTGATCTGGTAACTAGCAGTGTGCTAAAGAATGTGTCACAAAATCAGCCTATGTAACAAGCTTGGTATAAATTCTGCATTAAAGAATTAAATCATTGTTCATGTAAAAGTGCAGTGTGTGGAGTACTTGCTGGTTTTTGTTAATGTATTTTGCAGATCAGTTCTCTGATCTGATGTACTCTCCTGTTCCGTCATCAGCTGCAGAGGCACAGATTAGGAGGCAGCACAGGGCAGGGTAGAGGACGGGAAATGCTGCGTACACCAGTCCTTGTTCTTGCCCATCCCTCTTGTGAGGGAGGTAGCAGGGACTTGGAGAACTGCATTGCTGAGTAAGTTGTGGTCAGAACAGTTTTGAGACAGTGTCATATGATACATAAGACAAATTATTCTGTCACTGTAAACCGCTGAGAGTTAATTAAATTAATCTATCACTTACAGCAGAGATCTAAACCTACTTAGCCGTGGTTTATTCCTACATTGATTGTCTGAATGCTTTCCAGTTCCAGGTTAACCCTCTAGCTTCTTTCAGGTTTATCTTTTGTCTCATCCTAGCCCTGAGGGGAAAACTCTGCACACTGTGAAGTTTTTATTCTACTGGGGGTGGGGTGGGGTGTGTTAAATATCTGTACGTGATGCCACGCCTTTATATTATGAAAGGCAACACTAGAAGAGCTTGAGGGGAAGGTTCCAGGATGATTGTTAGTTTCTGGAATATGCTTTCTTTTCAATGTGTATCAGTAAAGTAAGAATGTTACTATTAAGTTTGTTATTTCAAAACAAAACAAAACAAAAATACCAAACCACAAAATACAGAGAAGGTTAGCTTTTAAATATTACGTTATACTAACTGTTGTTTATTAGGCCTTATTTTGAGAGCAATTTCAGGATATATTTACAAAGTAAAAACAAGATGTTTAGATTTCTGACTTGCTTGAAGAGAAGGCAGGATTTATAAAACTGTATGAAATGACTTGTTGATAGAAAGTAGTTCATAAAGTAGACTAATGATTAGCAATCATTTTCCTCCAGCATTGCACAAGAGCCAAGAATACTTTATCAAAAGCCAAAGTGTTCTAAGTCAGAAAAAATAGAAGATGCTTTATTATTGGAATGCCCACTGGTAAGATTACTTTTTAATAAAGCATTGTTGTGGAAAAAACCAAATTAATATCTTTCAGTGAAACATATTTAGAATAGAGTGTTCTTTCCCTGTGAACTATTTTCTCAGTGTTTCTATAGAGTTAGGTCATTTAAGGTTTGCAACATGTGCTTATTTATTTTGACTGAATGTTCAGAGGTATACTTCTCTGAATTTCTCAATAGTGCATTCAAGTGCTTTTTTGTGAGCTTTCGTGGAAGATTTTAAAAACAGTGCCTTTATGCTTATGCAACTAACTCTACTTCCTTACAACATAAATTCTGTTTAATTTTTTCTTTATTTTTTAATTAGCAATGGCAGTAGGTGGGAGTTTTAGTTTTTACGAGATCTGTTGACATAAAAAAAAAAGCAGATAAACTGAAGACCCATTAAAGCAACTCTGCCCAAAAGCTGTTCTGCTGTTTCTAGCTAATAGATGATATAATTTCCCTCCTTCTTGAGGAGTTTTTCTCTCTTCCACTGTCCACAGAGCTTAGGAATATTAGCCCCATCCTTGAGGTGCCTAAAAATAAAGCAGTGTGAATACCATTCTTAGCAGTTACTGTTGAGTTACTACTTAATGTCTTATTCCGCAATATTTAAACAATTGTCTCTTCAAGACTGGTATCAATTAGATCAATAAGCAGTTACACTTCATTTGTGCAAGGCAAAGAAGTTTTAAGAGGTGTCTTTTCTAGAAGAGGTAGCTGCCTTGCAAAAAGTGTGACAACAGATTATTTATGTGATAGTCAGCTGACTATTTAGCACAGACACGAGCTTAGAGATCCTGATGTGATTAGCCGGCAGCTTTCCACCTTTAGTTTTTGAGGAACATGTATTAACTTCTATTTTCTTGCTACTGTGTCAAAATGTTATGTATTCTCCTAATACAAACTTTGTTCTGATAACCTTTTGTTATGTAGGGGGAAATGCTACCAAGTCCATCAGACTATAAATCTTCCCTGATAGTCTTGACAGTGCAGAACTGGCTTCTACGTCTCTCTGCTGATAGTGGAGAAATACTGGAAAAAATATATCTTGCCGGTTCCTGTTGCAAATTCAGGTATTAAACATTGACTAGGCTTATATAATTAAAAATCATTAGTACTATACTGGAGAAAGGGAATCATGTTTATTTTAGTACTATCCTATGGCTGACTTCAGATTTGTTAGTCTAGCATATTAGCTGGAGTATTGTTCCTGCACGCTGTTTTCTATAGAAGAATTTCAGCAGCTTAAGTATTACGGTCTCAAATTTGGTATCAAGTTCCACAAAAGCCACAAAAACTAGGCTACTATTGGCTTTTCTCTGACAATTTTACAGCCTTTAATATTGCAATGGCAACATACCAGGAGAGGACCCTTAAGAGCTGTAAAACAAACTTCATAAAACATAAGAAAAATACATTTGAAGTTTAAGCCATTTTTAACTTGCAAGCATACCCTTCTCCATAGGGTAGCTATTTTGCTCTTTAAAAGCAGAGCAGTTACTGCTTCTGGTAAACTGCATCTTTTTTTCAGTTCTCAGAAGAAATTATTTCCTTTAGACTGAAGGATAAGAAAGCAGTGATTTGTGAAGGGAAGGAGAAAAATTAAGGCAGTGAATGTTCATACTTTCAGAATTTTTCTCACAATCCTGTATGGAATAAGCCATTCCTAGTTCCGTGGGTTTTGCATTATTGCAAACAGCAAACATCTCAGGCACCTCTCCCGAATCAGATACTGAACAGTTTGCCTGGACACAGGGATCTGCCTAGTTATAGTAGATTATATTTTATTTGAAATAATGTATTTATTATCAAATGATTTTTAAATTATTAAGATAGGCCTTTCTTGTCACAAATAGGTATCTGAGCTGGGATACTCCTCAAGAGGTAATGGTTGTAAAGTCAGCTCAGAATAAACTCCCTGCAGCAGCACGACAGGTAAGTTTGTTGAAAAAATCTGTCATTCTTAAATCTTTACAAAATAGATTAAAAAAAATTTACAAGGACAGAGATGGAGACATTATGCTTTGTTACTATGGTAGAAGAGGAAGATGTCCTACCATTAATAAATGCCTCAAGTGTAATAATTGTATTCAGTATTGTTATTCCTTCCCAGGCAGGTATCCAACAGTCTGTATTGTTCTATCTTGCCGTATTCCAAGTTTTGCCTCTTTCATTCATTGGAATGCTAGAAATAAACAAAAAGGTAAGTTAATTCCTCTGTTAATCATGATCTGTACTGTAGTTGTACAAGAGGCATGGTTTAGTCAATTGTCCCAGAATTTCAGAAGTCATACTTACAGCTTATAAAAGCATAGTGCCCAGAAACATTAATTAGCAGTAATGTTCTTTTGTGTCTGGTTGGGGGGGAAGATTCTTAATTCAAATGACTAGAAGAGAAAATACAAATGCATTCTGCTATTGGGTTACTCTCTGACATGTAGAAGGACTTTAGCCTTTACTTATAGCAATCATAAGAATTAGGGAATCCTAAAGTGTTTGTAGACTTCTTTTCACCTCTTTAAAGAAAGATAGATGTGCTTCTGACCCACTCCTAGTAATAGTCTATGAATTCTGTATGCAGTTACAAATGTTTCAAACTTGTATTATCATTGATATTGAATGGCAAAATGTAAATATGTGTCTTGCTTTATCAGTCAAGAGCAAACAACCTTTCTGAGGTTGGTTTGTGACCTGTAAGTAAGAGTGTATATATTAGGAAACCTCAAGCCAGATGGCAAGTTTTACTGTTCTGGTGAAGAAACATTTCTATGTTAAGTCAAAAACGCTCTGGATACTACTTATAAATGGAACAGTGCATACATGCAAACTCTGTCTTCAGAGCTCTGTGAGCTAGTCTCATTTGGGGTCCAGAGCTATTAGTGGGTTTTAGGGGGTGCTGGGTTAGGTTGGGGCTGTAATTGAGATTGGGCTGGCAAGTGAAGGAATGGGGTTAAACATTTTTCATTTGGGCCCATGAAAGTTTAGGGGCACTGTGTATTGTTCTGTTCAAAATTAGTAGTTAGGACTGGAAAAAACAGTTGTTACCAGTTTCAAAGGTATTCTCAATCTGGTTAAGAATGGCATGCCAGATTCATCATGGACATAATAGGCAAAAGGTCTAAAAGAGTACTTCTTCAGTTGGGCCTGTACTGAGTACTCATCAGAGTAGTTGTTACAGCTAGGAATAATGTCAGGACAGGATTTGGGAATACACCCAGCAGGGGAAGCAACCAGTGAATGCAATGCCAAACCTGATACAGATCAGTGGAATGTAACTGTTTAATTAGAGTTAGGATTAGGGTTACTGTTCAAGACTGCAGAAGCATCTAATGCATCAGCTTTACTGAGATGGTATACCACAATAAATTCTGAGTTCAGACTAGCTAAGGTCCCAAGGAAGGAGAGTTTAGGGTTGGAAGACTATTAGATTTTGGGTCTGGAAGACTCTGGGACCTAAGCTAACAAATGTATTGAGAAAGAGCCATAAGACTAAATATAAGGCAAGGTCTCGGGAGTGAATGTATCTTTCAGGACCAAAGCGATCGCAAGATCCTTGATAGTGATTTAGGAGTATTACAGCTTTTGGGTTTCTTTTTTTTAAAATTGTTTTTAAGCCTGTTTTAACCCTGTTTTAATTGCTTTTTCACATAGTGATTCAGATTAAAGAAATGAAAACTGCATTTCCAAGCATCTCTATTACAAAAATTACGAACTTCACGTGTTGTTATTCATTAAATACTAAGAATTAGTTTGTTGGGTTTTTCTCAGTGGAGATGTGTTAAGCGGTGGCACAAATGAATACTGCATAATTGTTAAAAGGGGTAAGTCAGCTTCTCATGTATGTGTCTAATTTGGATTCAGAGAGGATCCTGTACTCTGTGACAGCTGGATAATGTAGTTTTAGTACAGCTGTACACAGTCATAGAGCCATGATTAGACCAGTATTTTACCCTGGTGATGAAGAAAGAACAGAAGATCTGAAATCAGTACTTTTAGTAACTAAAGTTGTTAGCTTTGCTAACATTCCTGTGGGATGCTGGGTAATATAATCTATTCATGTATTACAATAACCGGGTAACATGATATGAAGATATACTGAGAATTGATTAGACAATGAATCTGCTTGCAGAATATGACTAATCTAACGTCAGGTATTACTGCAATGCAAAGTGTTATAGAAACTCAGCAGAACAGATGAGTTAGAGAAAACTTCATGAACTACACTGATCGTAGGGTTTGGTCAGAGTAAAAAATTAAAGTGATTGCAAATTTAAGGACATAATGGCAGTATCTTGCATCGTGTCTCAATTATTTCTTCCCTAATAGACTATTTTTCTTCTCCTTTTTTTTTTCCCAGATATTTGGTAATAGTGTGACAGATGTTGCTGTTTCTAATGGAATCCTGATTGTAATGTATAGCGTGGGTCTGGTCAGGCTCTATAACTTCCAGGCCATCTCTGAACAGGTAATGAAATACAAAATTTTTCATACAGTCCATGCTATTTTGAGGGAACAAATCATAAATATTCATGTAATGCCACATAGGTACATGGGGAATGTGTCAAAGGATAGAGTTCTTGCCTAAATCTATTTATAGACAGAAGATGCAAATGGGTACACTATCAGAAAATTCTACCCACATCAGTTACAGGTGGCAAAACATAAGAGATACAGGGTCAGACAGGCACTTAAGCGTATATAGAGAGGAGCTATGTAAATGCTAGACCAGGGTGTGCTCTTCTTTACACACCTAGTCTGTAGTTATAGATGAGTGTTAAGGCTAGAAATTGATGGGCATGGAAGATTGTTTGATCTGAAACAGAACTGCAGTGAGACTTTTGAGTTTATATTCTTCCAATCAAAAATCAAACGTTAACTCAAAAATAAGACTTCAAGCAGTATCTTAACAAGATAAAGAATGCAGTAGTAACAGAGCAGTAAAACTAAACAGCAAGTAAATACGCATCAGTAAAGCTAAATTGTTCTGTGTTATTTTAGTTCATGGAACAGCCGTTTGATTTGGGACATGAATTCAACTGGAATGGTCAAGTGGGAGTTGTAGGAAAGTATCCATTTGGTCTTCCATGTAACATTAAAATAACAGGTATTTATGATGTCTGTATTATCTTGGCTGGTGGCTTTTATGGATTAATTTATTATTAATTTCACACCAAGAAAAAACATTAAAATTACTGTACTCCTATTGTGCTGTAGCTATATTTCTGTGTTTACGTTACAGTAAAAATGTGCTTTGCTTTACTTCTAATTAAAAGAATTAATTACATAGGGCTTACCTAGAAAACTAGTACAGCAACGAAGCTATTTGAAAAACTTCATAAGCAATGCATGATGTGGAAACCCCTTATTTCTGAGACACAGCTGATCTTGGGAAAGAGGAAGGGCTAGCACAGCTGTTAGTAACACCCAGAAACAGTATACAGTATGTAAGCAAAAGATGTGAGAACGTTTAATCTAACTTGCAGAGGGAATTCAAGGAGACCGAATACAATTTGTCTGAGTTGCATTTTGATAATTCTTAAGTTGTCAGAAATGTGCCAGTTTCAATAAAATTAATTCCTGAGGAGAGAACAAATTGTCTATTAAAAGCAATTCTTATGCCTCAAATCATTAACTGATGAATGTTCTGCTTTATGTAATGACTTTAATTTCTCTGAAACCAAACAATGATTTCTGTTGGTGCATTTGAGATTAGAATTTGGTGCTAAGAATCTTAATGAATGACCAAAGCCTGAGACTTTCTTTGAAACTTTTTTTTTGTACTTTAGAAATACATTCTCACAAGTTAACACTTGAGACCCTTCCAAAAAAAAAGAAATAGTAGGTTTCACCAATATCAAATAATGCATGCCTTTATTTCTTTAATTTTGAATGTTTCTTCATTAAATGTTTTTTACAGGTGACTGTCCACATAAAAAAATGCTTTTATCTTTATGTTTGCAAACAGTATCAGATAATAACAGGCAAACCAAACCAGATTTACATAAACCTGAGGAAATACACAAAGATAAAATACAGACTTACATAGCGAAGGCTTTGTTTTATCAAACAAAGTGATAGGCTGCTATAATTGATGTCTCAGGTTCTGCAAAGAGAAAATTCTCCTCGCTTTCCTCTCTGTCTCAGTCTGCAAAACCACAGTTTAACGTTAGGGGCCCTGTGGAAAACATACTGTGGGAGTTTTAATAGGAAGCCTATACCAGATTTGTTCTCATGTCTTATAGATCATTGTAGTTTTTAGTGTGGAGATTTAAAACCAATGTACTGGAGGAAACATTTTTGATCTTGAATCATAGTCAAGAATTTGTGGTTGGGAAGTTTTGAACTCATGACAGACAATTGCCATGGCTGCTCTTTGCAGATAGTTGCATTCCTGTGGTTTTTGAGCTGTTTTCTTTTAAGAATGAGATGGCCGACTGACTGTTCAATGTGACGTAATGCTTCAGTGAGTGAGATTTTAAGAGTTTCAGAGTTTAAGCTTGTATTTACTGTAATTTAACTGTGTAATTTTTCCTGCTTATTTAGTCCTAGCCTCCCTACAGAAATTGCCTGAAGGGATGGCAGTTATTACAGTAATGTTTTTATGGTGTGTTAGGTACCCGAGAGGTGTATAGAGATCATAACTTATAGGCTACCATGTACCTACCATGTTATTTACAGCTATTGACTGGTAAGGAATTTGATTTTGGTCACAGTAGAAGGAATGGAAAAGCTACCTATAAATCTTCATTATGTCACTTTCTGAAAGGTCCAGAACTTAAAACTGTAGTTTGATTTATTATTAGAGGATACACTAATTTCATAAAAAAACAGAGGCAGATATTTTGCCCATATTGTTTTTACATTTAGAACAAATACTTGTTAGAGCTGCCAGGAACAAGTTTATGGCTCTATGTTTAGATGAGGCTGGAGAGTTTTAAGGAAGTGAACTAAGAAGCTCAACAGGAGATTGAAAACTGGCAATGCTAGGGAAAGGACTTGAAAACAATGAGAACAGGAGGTGTGGAGCAACAAGAGCAAGTGACAAGTGAGCAGGAAGGAGGGAGTTGAGGCAGCAGAGTCACGCTATCACAGTGGTTTAGGTGGCTATGATCTTGCAAATCTTTGCCAAATGAACATAAAAAGAAAGGCATATTTTATCAGCAGCCTGTACTGCTTGGGATTGATACATGATTGAAACGCATTTAAAACTATCATTTAGTCCATCTAGCAGAATTTTTGAGGGGCCTTGCTATATATGCTTTATTTAAAAAGAAAAAGTCAATAGGGTAAAATGTTAACAGATTTTCTTGACTCATTTTTCATTTTCTGACAGATTTTAATATCAGTAGGTCCTCTGCTTATGCCTCCATCTTCAACATTCTCTACATTTTCAGCAGGTGCCTCGGTTTTTATAATCTCTACTTTGTTATATCTTGCACAGAATCTCCCATTTCCTATGTGTTAGTCCAAAAGACAACTAGAAGACTGCCACTTTCCAGCTTAGGAAAGACTTCATTTTCATGGGCAGTGAACTAACGCCTTTCAATATAAATGGCTAAGTTCTTGGAAACATGAATGAAGGAAAAAGAAGCACTATGTAAACATAATTTCTGATGTCATGTGACACCTTAGTACCATTGGCTAGGATCTGGATAATTATCTAGACTAAGGAGGACAAGAACAAGTCAAAATTTGGATGAGACCTTTGGGACACAAAAGTCCAGATAAGAACCTTGTTCTCCTCACAGTAATTCAGCTTGGGTTTTTATATTCTGCCTGTTTAAATGCCCCTCGTAATTGCAGATTTTCTCCACATCTTGTCAATTTTTTTTTCAGCACTTCTCTGTACTGTTGGAAAGAGCTGATCTTCAGTCTAAAATTGATTCAGTTATAGCAGCTGTAGAAATTGCTTTTATTTAGCTAGTTGGTGGAAGTGGTAAAGCTCCGTGCCGTCCATTTCATTTAAAGATGCTTCTCTCGTTTAGTACACAGAAGACGTGTAAGAATGGCGTATTACATCTGTATAATTTATCCCAAGTGAACTGAAGGGAAAACTAGATACCTTTTGCCATTAATTACAAAAATTCCTAGATTTTTATTCATTTTTATGAACTCAGCTACAGATGGCATTCATTGTGGTCCACACTATTTTGTTGTATTACGCAAAAGGAGAAGGAATATTCAGATTCAGGTATCTTTCTGCATTTAATTCCGTTGTTTGAGATTGCTACTGTTAGCCTGTTTCCAGCTATTTATCACTATTTTTCCCAAGAGAATAGTGACCCTTTTGATACGTTCTTTGATCTGTTCGTGTGTACGTCCACTCTCATTCAGGTGAGCTGGATTAATTTTAATTGTTTGCTACGTCTTTGCTTATCCAGCTCATTTGGAATGAAATAAGTCAAAGGTATCAGAAGCGCAGTTCAGCATGAAGATCCAAGAAGGCAGTAACCTTCCACAGGAAATTGCAGATGTGTGCCTGGATGCTAGGTGAGGTAGCATAGCTGGTGGTAGATAAAAGATTGCAGCCAATGTATTTCCACCGGTCTTCAAAAGTTCTGAAGAATTAGTAGCTTTATTGGAATTTAGAATTGTAAGGATCAATGGAATTATGATTGTTCTGCTACTAATGGTGTTAACATTACCAAATATTTGCAGATACCCCACCTTTGTTATTTGAAGCATCTTCTCTGGAGAATGCATTTCAAATTGGAGGTTACCCTTGGCATTATATCATCACACCAAACAAGAAAAAACATAAAGGAGTCTTCCATATTTGTTCTCTGAAAGACAATGCTTTGGTAATATATTCAGATAGCAGCTTCTCTGAAATGAATGTGTATCACGTTTGTCTTCTGAGTAGTGCTCGAGGTAACAATACCCTTGTTTTCTAGTGTGGTGCTCTCACAGGGATCACCCCACAGTGTTACGTCTGCTACCCAGTGGAGTCACGTGTAAAATGTTTTCTTCTGTATTAGTACTGCTTCTGCTATTTCCTTCATTCCAATATAATTGTAGCACTGTCAGTGCTACACAGCACTGTATTCTCAGCTTAAAAGTTAAGGCTCAAGCAGAATCTCATTACCTGATTCCTTGCATGGTAACATCTTAATGCAATTCTGACTAGTCAGCCTATCAAATGGCATGACTAAAGAAACATCTTAAGTTTTAAGACATTGCAGAATAAGTTTCCTTAATGTTTGTAGTTTATCCCTGATTTGTACCTTCCCTTTCTCTCCCTAGAAAGGTTTTATTACTCATTTTAATCCAGCATTCCTAATTATTTTTGTTTATGTACTATTCATCACATATTCTTTTGCGTGAGCTCCTCATCTCAGCTTTTATTTTGGATCTGGATTTGACCTGATGATACTTCTGTAATACAAGCAGCTTCTAGGCCTGTTAGTTCAGGGTTCTTCACTAAAAAACTTCTCGCCTGTAAATGTCCTCATCTCTTTTACTGGCCTGATCAAATCAATGATCCCCCTTTATCTCTTATTTTCAAAACAGATCTTTCACAACCGTAGCTGAAGATCAATTTTGATTCAAAGGGACTTGTACAATCCTTTCGCACCTAGTTTCTTCTATGTGGGTTCATACATTTGAAAATTTGAATGAGCAGGGTCAGCTAAATTTAACAACAAAAAGCCACTGCCAAAATCCCAAGATTTTGACTAGCTTGCAGCTGAAATCGCAAGCTATCCCAGGCTTACATGCTCCACAAATATTTGCACAAAAGAGGCTGAGCATGAGGTTTGAAGCTCAAGTCAAAATTTGTGTTAATGCTTTTCTCGTGTCTTTGACACTGAAATTACTGGAATTGTTGAAGTGTGTGCAGAGTGTAGGCTAAATCTTCATTTTGCTTAGTTTCAGGAGAGGTAGGACCATGTATAGCTGTGGTACAAGGTCATTGCTTATTGCATATTAAAAAAGTTGAAACTGTTCCATGGAATATATTAAAAATTGGAACTGAGTCTTTTTTTTTATTATTGTTCCACTGCCATCCTTTCTGGTCATGATTAGGAGCAATACTTAAAAACCTTCAGAATTATGTGGAGAGGAGCTCAGTATTTCCTCTTTAATTAGATCTGCGAGACTTTCAAAATACTAATATTCTAAGCTTTCCCTTCCTTCTTCAGGCGAAAAATGGCATACAGGATATGAAGTGCTGTTCACTGGAACCTGATTGGATATATTTCCATCCAGATATGTCAGGTAGAATAATCCACGTGGGACCAAATTTGATAAAGTATGAGGCCTTTTTTCTCAAATCTTATTTTCATTAGAGGAAAAGTTGCATAAATTCAGTAGTTTGACAATTTGCAGGCCAAAACACTCATCAAGCCCTAGAAACTGTAAACTTTATTAATTTGTCAGAATTGGAAGTTCTGGTAGAAACACCTGCAGATTTCTGCGTGATGAATGTGGGCACTGGCAGGCAACACTAGATTTTGATATGGGAAATGTTCAAGGACCACTCTGTTAAAATTTCACTGATAAATTATTTTTGTTATTTGTGTTTATTTCAATTTCAGTTATTTCTGATGTTTTAATATACCTGATTTTTTAAAATTGTAAATACAGAAGTGTTGTAGTAGGTGGATTAGAATACATGACTTATTTGTAATTTCTGTTTCTTTTGTAGAGTCTTGAAGCTCAAGGAAGTTAAAAATAATACAGATCAAATGGAGATTGCAGAAGATTTTACGATTGTGGCCAACAGAGAAAACTCTGTGAGTTCAGTGTCCGAGATCACAATGTACAATTTTGAGCAATACACAGGGGTTTTGCGTATGTGAGTAATCACCGTGTTTTATGGGCTCAATTCAAAGTTTATTGAAAGACATTCCGTCTCTTTATTGGACTTTAAGCTGTATGAAAAAATTTTGAAAACAGCAACAATTTCAGGATTGCTTTCTGAAACCTCCAGTCTTTTCTTTAGTTTTCAGCGTTCTTTATGGTGTGCAGTATAACCATGTATCGCTGATATAAAACATACTTAAAAGATGGTGACAGATTTCCTTCAAAAGAAGGTGCTACCAAGTGATAATTGTGTGCATCCCTGGTGCTCAGGTAATTTGATCATACAAATGCTAGAAATGTTTCAAGTCTCTCATAACACAACAAAGACAATACATTGCTTCCAAAAGTCTGTTTCTTTTCCTGGCCATGCACATCTGTCACTCCCTTGTGACAGGTTTGGCATTCATCTAACAGCTGGTGAGCCAAAGCAGTGCACTAAAATAATAGAAGAATAACCCAGCAGAAAAGGTGAGTACTGTTCTGCTTGCTTGGTGAGCTGAACTGGAGCTGGAGCAGAACAGAACTGAGTCTTCAGTGGGTTAGAAGAGTGCAGAAAGGTAGAACCAAGTGGCGAGGGAATGATCTGAACCTCCTGGTAGAAATGAGCTGTTAAATCACCTTGGTTGTTTCATGAAGTCTTTTGTGATAGAAAATCACAAAGACAATCTAAACGTCAAAAAGGTTAAAGAGCACACTTGTGAAGAAAATTTTTTGGCAGTGCTTGGAACTGTCATTTTGCTTCAGCATACAAAGTTATGTCTTACATAAAAGCAAATTTTTATAGTTTGAGTACTGTAAAGTCCCTGGAAATCAGTGATACTAATTTTGAAGCTTCTGCAGAAGAAAAGTTTGTGTATTAAAAATCTACCCTAACTTAGGAATAAAACTTCCATTGAATTAAGAAAGGAGAGGCTTTGTCATCTAATGACTTGCCATACTTTTTTTTTTAGGGTTTGTTTAGATAACTTCTGTTGCAATAAGAGCAAAGAAATATGAGTTCTAATCCTGTCTGTGCTGTGCCTTTTCCTTTTGACTTCCATTAAGACACTACTACCCCAGTTTTGAATGTTTCTGGTGTTAATGATGCCCAGTGGAAGCAGCTGTGGTGGTTTAAGATGCTACTTTCCCCATCTTCTGGAAGTAAGAGTTTAAGAAACAAATTGGTGGTGACTTTGCTGTCTCAATTCTCATTCCAGCATCTTGGCTCCAGTCACTTCTGTTTTAAAAATTATGGTAGCTGAGAACCTTTGGCACCTCTACAGGACTGAGAACCTCTGAATATGAGTAAACATCAGTAATATCTCAACTAAAACCACCAAGTTCATGAGCCCTCTTCTAAAGAAGAGAGAGTAGCGCTAGGGCCATGCATAGCTAACGAATAAAACAAGATCTGAAAGATTAAAACAAGGTCAGAAAGCAAAAGACATGAAATAGATAAATTGTCAAATAGATAGGAAGAAACTGAAATGCTCCAAAGTCTAGAGCCACTTTTTTCTTTTTCTCCAAAGGTGAACAACGCTGTTACTGTAACAGCTTCTGGTCGAGTGGTGAAAAAGCGTTTTAACTTGCTGGATGATGACCCAGAACAAGAGGTAACTGATGTAGTAAGAGCAGTTCATGGATTATTTAAGATGTTTAGCCAGAAGTCATTCTAGTTTCAGGTGCAGTGGCTGTAACCATTAGATGTGTTAATCTTTGAGTTCGTTATTCCTCTTCTGTGGCTGTCTTTGTCGTCTTAACTTCTAATTACTTCATTTCCCCTCTCTGTCGTCTTTTCTCCTTGGTTGACATTTGTGCTTTGGATAGTCTCTTTCTTTTAAGAACTGATCTTATGCCCCATGACACCGTCATAACTCTATGTGACTTCAGTGGCACAGAAATGAGATGTTAATGTGTTGAAGCATTACTCTTCATTCAAACATCTCCTTTAAACATTTCTTTTTACGAAATGAAAGAAACGTATTTCTTTTTTTCTCTGCTTTAGGTTCCTCTAGTCTTTGATATAGTATCTCTAAACTATATTTTTCTCTTCCAATTACTTGAATTAGATTGCAGGATAAGGTATTTAACACTTTTCCTTTAAGTAACTGCTTCTTCACAGTGAAAACACCACATGCCTTGGTGTTGAGTCTTCAAGAGGTTATGAAGAATATTTTTTAGCTCGCTCTCTAGAGCTGGAGCTGTAATTGACATAAGCATGACAGTTAAAATTCATCAGTTTCTGGCAGTCATTTCTATTCTTTTTTCTGAGGAAATAGATTTTACTATGGTAAAAATACAGGACAGTCCAATATAACCCTTAAGGTCTGCAGTTCATTTCTATCCACTTTTTTTTTAAACATAATAAAAATTAGAGTCTGCACACTATTTTTTTTTCCTGCTGTTACACTTATGATTCCAGTAGATATTTTTCCATTATGGAAGAAAAAGACTGGCTTGAATTTAAAGAGTATGTTACCAGATTCATGACAGCAAGATAGAGGCAATTAAGGCAGTTCAGTCTTCACCTTGTGGTCTCGGTTCTTCACTGTCACATACTCTGTGGAGCAAGAGAGAGCTCTGAACAGGACACACAGGTGTTCGTGTGAATGGAATTACCCTAATATACCTATCCCCTCAAAACCGGTAATGGTTTTAAGCTATACTGTCTCTAACATGTCTGCTTCAAGAGAGGGCATGGAGTTTAAATATGTTTCTTCTGCCAATTTCAAAGTACTTTTTTCTATTTCCTGTGTGATATATATAAAATACATCTACTTGCACATTAGGATTGTTCAGAACATCACTTTCTTCTCTCCTGTCTTAAGGAATTTTGCTGAAATACATCGGACAACTCATGCTGGGAAAGATGCCTGTTGGGTATCAGGCTGGCAAAGTTTTCTTTGACCAAAAGACTTAAGAACTACAATTTTTCCAATTCTGCTATCACCTGAAAGAAAGAGCTATGCAATTTAGGTAGAGGGGAATATGAATTTGTTTGATTTGTAAACTTTAGGTTTTCTTTTTCCTAAGACATTCAAAATTGTGGACTATGAAGATGAATTGGATTTGTTATCCACTGTGGCAGTTACTGAAATAGGAGCTGATGGAAGAGCTCACCTTGACTTTCATTGTAATGAACATGGGATTCTACTTAAGAGTATTCCATTACTGGAGTCCTGGGATGTGGTGAGGAGAATTCCTGTCTTTTGTTTATGCTAGCACTTCCCCATACCCATTTACCTACCATTTTTGTTCAGATTTGAAGAGATACATAAATAGTGTTGCCAAGTGCTATGGATGAGATTTGTACAAAATAATAATCATAACTCAAAAATTCTAAGTATTCCATCAGACAGTAGTTCACTTATCTGAAAATCTCCGTGATTTGAAATTAAGATTTTTTTTGTTGTTGGTTGATTCGTTTCGTTTTTTGGCTGGGGGAGGGGTTGTTTAGGTATTTCTGAAGTATTTATCAACTTGAATACTCACCCTCTGGCTAGTTACATCAGCTTGACTTTACAACTTGTAGTCTCACTAGCTTAACTTGAACTACTTGCATAGAATTAAGCATGGACCTCACTCTGTGTATATTTGGAGAGATGGAATGGGCTGTTCATACAGTCCAAGTTTAGGTGGATATCCAACTTAGATAATCTGAAATATTCAGCACCTGGGGCACCTCTTCTATCACTGACTGCATAGGCAACTTAGGATCTTAAATCAGATGCTCTGGATTGCACTTAGATTCCTAAAGTAGGCATGTGGGAAACGTCTCAAAGTTTTAAAATTCTGTCCTTTATCTGGAAGAGCAATCTGTGTGTATCCACACAAAATTCCTGTCTGATCACGGAGGTCACCAATGTTAAATATTTTTTGTTCCCCAAGGAGAATGGTACAGGTATTAGCAAGTCATGGAAATGGAGACTGCAATTAGCTTTTTTTTTTTCTCATTTCAGACTTACAGTCATGAAGTTTACTTTGACAAAGACCTTGTATTACATATAGAACAGAAGCCTAACAGGAGGTTCAGTTGTTACGTTTACCAAATGGTCTGTGATACTGCAAAAGATGATGAAAGTTCAAGCCA